GAAACGATTAAAAACAAACGTAAAGGCAGGTACGGTCCGATGTAACCTGGCTGACTCTGAGGAGAAGGAATGGATGGATCTGTTTCGTGTACAGTTAAAAAAAAAAAAAAGCAAAAAAAAAAAGAAGTTTGTCGTTGCAACTTAAACTCAAATATTACTGCTCATAATAACGATCTGTTTGTGTTTCTGCATGTATGTGAACGCATGTTCAGTTGGTGTCGGCGTTTCTAGGTCGAAAAAGTCAGACATTTGGGAAAAGCCCTGGTTTTAAAAAGAATGTACGTGAGAAGCAGCCGTTGTTGCGGAGGTGGAGGTGGAGGTGGTGCAGTAACAGTGACCTGTTACTTCATTATGACTGTGTTTTGGTACTGAGACGGGACGGCCGCCAAAATCTGTGAAATACGAAACATCCTGCAAACGTTTTCACTCAACATCTGGGCCTTGACATTTGATTTGATTCAAACTCACAAATGTGAAGAAGGACACACACACACACACACACACACACTTCACCACGTACTGCAGAATCACCCCCCCTCCACCTGTGTTCTCGCCGGTGCTTCTTCGTAGCCAGACGTCCGACACCGACTGTGTTGTTGTGCCAGGTGAAACCCCAGACCTCATTTTCACGTACTGTATTACAGATAGGAGGAGAAACACGGCAGGGAGGAGACTCCAACAAACAAACAAACAAAAAAAAAAAAAAAATCACCGCCTCCTAGTACTGTTCTGGAGGTCTTAGCTGATTGGCTGACTGGCCCTGCTGTATTTTCTACACGTTTCAGTTCTGTTTAGTTTGGACCGTTGTTGTTTTGGTTTTTTTTTTTCCGGGACTCTTGGGAGTTGACTTTGTTTGAGTTGTCAGACGTTTTTGGTTCCAAAACCGTTCTGATTGGCTGTGCTGGGCTCAGACCAGGGGTGGTGCGTCTGACTGTGAGTTTTCTGATTGTTTCTGACAGACTGGTCACAGGAAGTGCGGTCTTCCTGCTGCTGGTTACCAACAACGGTTCATTTATTCTGTGCTTAGAAAACAGGGAAGTCCCAGTCACGCTTGGTCACTGGACACCAGTCTGGAGAGGCGGGGGGGGTTGTTGTTTTGGCCCCCCCCCTCACCTGCCTCCCCCCCTGGTGTAGCTCCATGTGCTGTATTTCTAGAGCCTGTGCTTTCCTGTGTAGATGCTACTGTGTCCTTTTTTTTTCTTTCTTTCTTTTTTTTCTATTTTTTTGAGTCAGTTTGTGAATATTACGTCCAAAATGACAATGACCCAGTTTCACTGTAGCAGCCGTGAGTTTGAATGGATTTGTACGTTTGTTTTGTACTGAAACGTCATGAAGCGTCATATTGCTCACTGTAAATAAATTTTTTTTTTCTGTCAAAATGCCTGTCGCGCTGTTTATGTTCAAACACAACATGGGTCAACACACTTACAGCAGGGGTCACCGACTTACCGCAGGGGGCAACACACTC